ATTTTCGATATAGATGACTGAACAAGAGAGAGAGAGAGGGGGAGAGAGAGAGGGAGAGAGAGGGTGAGTGAGTAAGTAAAAAAAAAAAGGGGGAACGATGACTGACGAACGCCATTTTCCTTTTTTTTTTTTGTTCCCACGACTCGAATATAATCATTTTAATAAAATTCAAAAGGATCAAATCACGACTTTAACTCATACTATTATTATTATTATTATTATTATTATTATTATTATTATTATTATAAAAAAGGAACGAACGAAACCTTTCGGCCTTTTCGCCTTCTTTTACCAAATTATTTATTTTTTTAAATAATGATAATAATAATAATAATTAAAAATCGCGTGCGAAACGTATTCAAATTTTTAGATGAGATGATTACAAAATAATAATAATAATAATAATTATCAATAAGTAAATTAATTTTTCAAAAGGAAGGAAGGAAGAAAGGAAGGATAAAATTTCGCGCGCTTTTTTTTTTTTGAAAAAACGCGCGCGTTTATAAAAATTTCAAAAAAAAAAGAATAGTTTTTAAAAGAAGTACAAACGTACAATATATTTTTAAATGTAAATAATAATAATAATGATAATAATAATAATAATAATGAAATTTATGTCAATTGGAAAAAAAACGCGTGCGGTTTTAACTCGCACATAAAACGACTTTGATAATAATAATAATAATAATAATAATAATAATAATAATAATAATAATAATAATAATAATAATAATAATAATTGTAATAAATGATAACGATTTATTCCCACGCGTTTTTTTTTTTTTTTACAACACGCACACGCACACGCACACACGCTCACGCATGCACGCACGCACGCACGGACACTTGGATCGTATTCAAATGGGAAATGTATGGATGGGTTGTGGGTTGGTTACATGCATTTGCGCACGTATGCACGTGTGCGTACGTGTGTGTGTGTGAGTGTGCTGGGAGGGTTATTGTGCGTGTGCGTGTGCGTGAACGTACGTAAATTCAATCGTTGTAAATATAAAATAAAATAAAATGAGAAAATGAAAAAAAAAAAAAAAGAAAAAAATATTCGTGCTCATTTAATTAGTTTTTGTTTGTTCACCCCACTTGCCCCACCCTTCCCTCCCTCTCTTCCCCTCCGACCCCATTGTCCTCTCCCTACCTTTATCCTCATCGTTTTCCTATATATATATATACATACGTGTACAAACAAACAAACAAAGAAAGAAAAAATTAAAATATTTTTATTTATTTACGAATATACATACACACATATATATATATATATATATTTATATATAAATGTTAAATTATAAACGAAGTAATATATATATAAAAACAAATCGATCGATGTGAATTTATTATTATTATTATTATTATTGTTTTGTTATTATTATTATTATTAGTTTATTAATAAATAAATAAATTATATTTGTATTATAATTACGACCGATGATTATAAATAACAAAAAACAAAATGGCGGATTGATTCGATCGTGACGTCATCACACACACACGTCACGCCATTTTATACATTTAATTATATATAACGTATATAATAATAAATAAAGTGAAGAAAAAAAAAATTTTTGTTTTCTAATTTTTTTTCCCATGTCTTTTCCAAATCCTTAATCGATTCATCGATTCATCGATCGATACATCGAATCGAATAGTTTTGATAGGATAATTTAAAAAAAATATAAAATAATAAATTATTATTTGAATAACATCGATATATATTTTTATATATATATATATATATACTCATTCGTGTTAATTATAAATTGTAAATCCGAATTTTTCCTTTTTCTTTTCTCCCTATAAAATATCATTCATACATACATACATAAATATATATAAACTTATTTATTTAATGCAATAAAATAAATTTTCAATGTGATTATTATTTATGACGTCACATACACACATACGTCACGTTCTCACGGTGATGATGATGATGATGAATTAATATTATTATTATTATTAATTAAACGTGATTAAATAATTGCATCAAATGGCACGCAAAAAAAAAAAAAAAAAATTCGGATGATATTGATTGATTGATTGATTGATTAATTAATTATTATTATTATTACGACTCGGATTCGTATGGGGGGTTCCCTCTTCTTCTTCTAATTCCGATACGTGGGGAGAAGGGAGAGGAAGGGAGTAAATATTCCTCCTTAGGAAAAGTATCGACGAACCCCTTACGAATGTATGACGTATAATAATGACGTATTATTTATAAGACTTTTATTAAAGCCCTTTTTTTCTTTCTTTTAATAAATATTACTACAAGTTATGATAATGATAATAATAATAATAATAATAATAATTTACGTGAATATATATATATATATATATATATATATATATATATATATATATATATATATAAATTTACGCTAATAATATAAGTTTTTGGTTATTTTTAAATTTTTTTTTTTTTGTTATTTTTTTCTTGTTTTTGTGGATAATATTAATAATAATGATACTTTTTTCTTCTTCTTTTTCTTCTTAATATTATTATTATGATTATTAAATTTCAACTGGAAAATAAATAAATTTTCACAGCCATTTAAGAGAAAGAGAAAGAGAGAGAAAGAAACGGTTAAGTTTTATGATGACGAATAAGAAATAGATGTTGAATAGGTAGGAGAGAGAGAGAGAGAGAGAGAGGATGAGAAGTATTTTAATGGTTGCTGTTGCTGGTGTTTACTGTGGCAATTTATATTCTTCTGGTTCGTTTGGATTAACGTTGTTCATCACTTGATGAGGATTGTTTGTATCTTGCTGTTGGAGTTTGACAGCGGCCAACAAGTGAATTTTCATGTGGGTTTTCAAATTGTCGCTCCTCGTGAATTCTTTCTCGCATATACCGCAAATGTGAACTTTGCTCTTCGTTTTGTTTCTCACGGCGGCCAATATGTGAATCCTCATGTGAGTTTTCAAATGATCCGTTCTCGCGAACATTCTATCGCAATCCGGACATTTGTGCATTTTCGTGTTGACACGATGAACGTTTCTCAGGTGACGGGTCATAACGAATCGTTTTGCAAAACGTTTGTCGCAACGTTCGCATTGAAAGGGTCTCTCCCCCGTGTGCGTTCTCTCGTGATTTTTCAAATGATCTTTCCTTATGAACAATCGACTGCAAAATTCGCAAGGATAAGATCTGAGAGTGTTGTCGACGCGATTTTTCACGTCGTTGACGCTCATGAAATGAAAATTGATTCCCTTGAATACTTTTTCCGTTATCCTTTCGTCTTTCAAATCGTCCACGATTGTCTTTGATATATTTCCCGATTTCTCGACGCTTTCGCAACGTTGCTCCTGATGCTTTTTCAAATTTTCCAAACGAATGTAAGCTCTCCCGCAATTATCGCATGAATATGTTTTTATGAATGAATCGTCGTCGTTTTCCCCGGACGATTTCAACGGTCGATTCTTATGTGTTAACAAATGCGATTTCAAATGATCCTTCCTCGAAAATGTTCTCCCACATTCTTCGCATATGTAAAATGTTGTCACTGATCCGTGTACAAATTGTTTGTGTCTCGTCAAATCAGAATGTTTGGCGAATGATCTTTGGCATAAATCGCATGCAAATGGACGTTCTCCTGTGTGTGTCCTCATGTGACTTTTCAAATGATGACTTCGAGAAAATGATTTATGACATTGAGTGCATGGAAAACGTTTGGGCAATTCTTTCGGATATGCCTCTTGTGGTGGTGATAAAAAATGATAATTAAAATTATTATTCGAATTATCTGGTGCTGGTGGTGGTGGTGGCATGTTGTATGGTCCTGGCTCTTGATTTGGACAATACACTCCTATGATCACACAAAATAAAACATATATATATTAAATGAAAATTTGTAAACAAAGGGAGTGAAGAAAATTCAACATGGAGGATCATAGCATTCAATATAGCATTTACCCCTCGTTGTAATTTAAAACAAATGTTCGAATGAATAAATATAATAAATCATGCTCACGCACGCACTCACGCAAGCAAGCACGCACGCACGCACGCACGCACTCACGCAAGCATGCACGCAATCACGTACCTGAATTAAAATCTCCGACGTATTCGTTTTGTACCCCATCATCATCAAATCGAATGGCCACATCTTCAACTTTTATATCCACCTCCGGAAAAGGTAGAGCGTTTGTTGGTTCCATTTTAATCTTTTATATTATTCAGGTACGTGAGAAATTTATTTATTTTTCAAACGCTTTTATCGATTCCTTCAAAAATAAAAACCATATAAAAAATAATCGACGCGTATAATAAGAATATTAACCAATTCAGGTTAATATCAATCAGGTATACAAACCGCTACCAACGTTTATAATGTAAAATTTTTTTTCTTTTACATTTCCATATCGTGTAAAAAAATTAAAAAATATTGACTCCCAATATTGTTTTTTTTTAAAAATCGATTCCTTTGAAAAAAAATTTTTTTCTTTCTTTCCTTATTTATATCGATATACCTTCACTCGATATAACTTATAAACTGTATAATACCTTGCATCTCATAAATATTTATAATTAATACTCGGACGCATAAACACAAAATTCTAATGACACTTTAAAATAAATACAATATAAAAATCGAATCGAGACAACTCGAGTCGACGTGTCACTAATGTAAAAAAAAAAAAAAAAAATTAACGCGTTTGAAAAAACGTTACCGACAAATTTACCTACTCTCCTTGTTCTCTATCTCTATCCCTCTTTCTCTCTCTCTCTCCCTTCCTCCTTTTGTCGTCGTAAACTCGCGACGACGCACATCGTAACGAAAAACAAGTCAAATCAGAATCTTTTTATTTTTTTTTTAAAAAAAATTTCCTATCGAATTTTCTTTTCTACTTTTTCTTCTCCTTCTAATTAATTTTATTTATAATTATTATTGATATTAATAATAATAATAATATTATATAATAATATTATAACGATGATGATAATATTCAAGGATATTAATTGATACAAAATGGCGGACGGTGTTTTAACATTTTATTCCTTCTTTATATTAAAATAAAAAAATTTTCCCCCTCTCTCTCTCTCTCTCTCTTTCTTTCTCTCACTGACGAAATTAAGAAGAATACGTAACGGACATCAACGTTAACCTGCAATCAAATATAATAATTTCCATTTTCTCTCTCTCTCTCTCTTCATATTTTAATTCAATAAAAAAATAAAAAAAATAAATAAACCACACGACTCATTATTATTATTATTATTATTATTATTATTATTAATTTTTTGTTGTCGATAAAAAGAATTCTAAATGAGAAAAGACAGAAAAAAAATTTTAATTAAATTTAAAACACGATTTTCATTACTATTTTATTCCAACAGCAAAACCATTAATTAATTAATTAATTATTTATTTATTTATATTATTTATCAAAATAAACAAAAAATTATTATTAATAATAATAATAATAATAATAATAGTAAAATCAATGCAAGAGGATAAGATGTGAATGATAACAGAAAAAAAAAAAAAAAAAAAACAAAATGTCGCCTTTTCTCTTTTTCAAAAGAGAGCGGTGAAAAAAAAAAAAAACGTTGTAAAAACAACAACAACAATAATAATAATAATAAATAATGATGATGATTATTATTATTAATAATAATAATAATAATAATAATAAATAAAACGAAAACGAGAAAAGAAAAATATTAATTATAAAGAAATTAAATTCATCCACGTGTTAGGAACGTGTGGAAACGACTCGCTGTCACGTGACAGCAGGAAAAAATTTTTTTGTTTGTCTGCAACTCGACTTTTTTTCTTTCTTTCTTTCTTTTCTTTTTCTAACTTCTTTCCTTTTTCTATCTTTCTCTCTCTTTCTCTCTCTCTTATGTCTTGATTATGTTATCAATCGTCGGACATGATGTTGATGATGATGATGATACTTCCCGCATGTTAAACATTCAAAAAAAAAAAAAAAAATAAACGAGAGACCGATTTTGTCGATAAACCAATGTCGTGTCCGCCATCTTATTTTCAAACTTTTTTTTATTTTTTATTTTTATTTTAGTTGTAATTATTTATTTATTTATTTATTTATATTATTATTATTATTTTATATTTTATTTTAATTGTTTGTTTTGTTTGTTTGTTTGCGTGTGTGAGTGTGTATGTGTGTGTTTGTTTGTTTGTTTGTTTGCTTGTGTGTTGTTTATTCGCATCATGTTTTTTTTTTTTATATGAACGAATCTGTTTCCATTGGTTCTTCGAAATTGTTCGGTTCGACTGAATCACCTGTGGCTTTATTATTTGCATCTTCCGATGATGGCGGCGCAGCAGTCGGTGGAGGAGCTTCCGTTTTCGGCTTGGGTTTAGGTTTGTTAAATATTGGAGCGACTAAATTTTCAAAAGCCTGCGTCAAAATAAAACAATAAATATTTCATCGACAATCAATCAATCAATCAATCAATCAATCTTTAATCCCAATCACCAACCCACCTGTTTTTCCTGTCTGATTTGTGCCACCGTCACGACCGGATTTTCATATTTTGGAGTACTTTGAATTTTCATCCTTTTTTCGTCCAACCATTTTTCTACCTTTTGAGTTTCTTGTAATGCTTTGTTTATGTCACCCTCCTGTTCGCGGTGGAAAACAGCACACAAAAATCAAATCACAATCAATCAATCAATCACAATTTAAAAAATAAACATTTTAAAACGGGAAAACTCACGGGAATATGATTATATCTCTCGTCGTTATTATTGTATTGATCTATTATTTTGTACGATTGTTGTATCGATCGAGCGAGATCTTCTATCACAGTCGGTCTTATATCCGCTTCGATCTTGCGATTTTTTATCGGTTCTCCGAGTTTCTGCAACAAAAAAAAAAAAAATGTAAGACTTCACTTCGATACATCGATCGATCGATCGATCTCTCGATTCACCGGATTCCATCATCGTCGATACCTTAAGCTGATCCAATTTATCTATGTAAATCTGCCTGTTGCAATCTTCTCCCTCTTCGTACAGCCAAGACTCCATGTCGTTGAGCTGTGACATCAACGAATCCCTATCCGCATCGTTGACGAACGAAGCCAACTGGGCTTCGTCACCGAGTTTTCCCCTTAAATCGTATACGTATTCCTCCATTGCGTTCCTCGCATCCGCTCTTTCCTTTTCCTGTCTGTCGTTGGCAATCATTTTACACTGTAATCAATCAATTGTAAAATCATTGAACAAAATCCGCCATATTGAATCGAAAATCCGCTTAAAAAAGGCTATTTCAAATGTACAAACTTCGAATTCGTAAAAACTATCCAATTGTAATTTGGTCAAACCGTGAGTTTCCGTGTCGATGTTGAGATCTATTTTTTTCACGTGTGATTTTTTCTTCTTTTCTTTTTTATCAGCGGATTGTTGCTGTTGTTGCTGTTGCGACTGCGACTGCTGCTGATCTTTACTCTGATCGTTTTCATCCTGAAATAAATTTCCAATCAATCAATCAATCAATCAATCATTATCGTCATTCGTTCGAAATTTAAAATTTAAAAAAGAAAAGGATTTCATACTTCGTTGCCTTGGTCCTTGTCTTTTCCCTGCTCTTCGCCATTTTCCATCCAATTATTTTGATCCTGTTGTTCTTGACTGTTCGAATCGAGTTCCATGGATTCCTTTGATTCCGCTTCAATTTCCGCTTGAGTGAGTTTTTCCGTTAGCGTGGCTCCTGCCACGGTCAAAATCCCGTGCAAGTTTATTCTCACTTTGACTTTGACCGTTGCGGGTTCGTTATCCACAGTCGGGCGAACGTCTTTTATGGTAAATTTACCTAAAAACAAAATCATTACATTCATTCGAAACTAGTTTTCCACGACCCTTTTTTTTGGAAAGAAAATTCGAAAAAAAAATTAAAAATTACCGATGTAAGAATCCGGATATGACGTCGGATGACTGTAAAAAGCGTGAACGCTGAACGGTTCCTTACGATAGAACGTGAGGAGTTTGGAAAAGGGAACCGCGTGATTGGCAGTAAATATTTCCATCTCGCCCTCTTCCTCTCCCGGATACGCATCCCATTTTAACGTCACCGGATAATTTTGTATGTCCGCGACGGAAAATTCTCTAACTCTAATCGCGGGAGACAAAGCAGCGCACTGTTGAACACAAATAATAATAATAATAATAAAAATTTTTTTAAATAACTTGGCATTGGGATATGGCATGGTGGCACAACTTGCCTGGAGTGCACAACCTCTGGCCACGGCTTCATCTTGATTCAAAGTCGTGCTCGGTTGTTTCTTGAAAACTTCTTCGATTAAATTTTTTATAGCGGGTATTCTGGTCGAACCACCGACGATTTCTACAGCGTATATTTCTTCTAGAGATAAATCTGCAATGAGAGAGAGAGAGAGAGAGAGAGAGTTATCCCACTCAACAAATCCAATAATAATAATAATAATAATAATAATAATAATAATGGCGTTCATCGTATCCCCACTCACTTGAATCTTTCAAACATTTCGTCAGAGTTTTTTCGACTTTTTGAAAGAGTCCCGCGCAAAGTTCTTCCATGTCGGACCTTTGCATGTCCGAATGAACATCTTTGTCGTCCATGAAACATTCGATATTTAATGGCAACTTTGTCGAATTAGCACTCATTTGTTTCTTTAACTTTCCCACTTCGGTCATGAGACGTAGGTACGCCCTGTCGAAAAAAAAAAAAACGTCAAGCAAATTAAATAAGAATGCGTTGGTACGAATTTGTTTTTTAAAAATGTTGGCGAAAATGGCCGACGAAAGAAAACTCACCTGGCATTTTTCCTCGGATCGATTTTGTATTTACTAACAAATTCTTTGGAAAAATGTTCGGCTAATATTCGATCGATATCCCTTCCTCCTATCGACGATGAAGCACTCGCCAACATCTACGCATGTAAGTAAAAAAAAAAAAAAAAAACATTAAGTTTGTACGGGCGTGTAAATATGTTCAATTTACCGGATGTAGGTGCGTCGACGTCATCGTCGTCGTCGTCGTCGTACCTTAAGTTTTCCCTTGTTGAAAGCTGCTGCGAAAACTTGCAAACTGGAATGACCGCAATCGACAAAAACAACGTTTCGGGGTTTTTCTTCCGCGTTCGGAAGATCTTGTTTGTATATGCCGTAAGCAAGAGCTGTGCTCGTTGTCTCATTGAAAAGCCTTAGCACATTGAGACCAGCAATGTGAGCCGCATCAAGGAGAGATTTACGCTCGGCTTGCGTATAGAAAGAGGGTACCTACGAAACGGGAAAAAATGATATCGATTTGTTGTTGCTGTGATTTTTTTAAAAAATATTTAACGAAGTCAAGGGAAACAAGTTTTAGAAAAAAACTCGTGCGAAATCAAATAAATAAACGTACAACATTAAAAAAAACACAATGCAATTAAAACAACAAAAACAAGTTTTGATGATGATGATAATAATAATGATAATAACAATTAAAACAACTCACCGAAATAACACAGTCGTTAACTTTGGTTCTAAGTGCATTCTCTGCTATTTCTTTTAATTTTGTAAACAGCATGGCTGTGATCTGCTCCGGAGTAAATATGTGTTCTTCATTTAAATAATTCACCTGCGAAAAGGAAAAAAAAAGGTCAAAGGTCAATACGACAACACCACCCAAGCACGAGAAGCTAAAAATTCAATTTTTTTTTTTCCATGCGTCGTCACGTGACGACTTTTCCTTTTCCTTCTCCTTCTTCTTTCATTTCCTCCTCACCTTAATCCCGAGAGATCCATCTTGATTAGGAACAACTGAAAACGGAAGGTATTGAAGTTCGTGTTGAACGTAGGGATCGTTGTATTTCCTCCCTAAAAGTCTCTTGAATTCAACGATGGTGTTTTTCATGTTGGTGACTCGCTTGTTGGCCGCGGCCACCCCCATGATTCGATTTCGGTCCGAAAAAGCGACACATGATCTGTTCGAAGAAAAAAAATTATTATTATTAATAACAACAACAAAATATTGATTGAATTCGCAATTTGGAATTTTTTTCGCTTTCTACATTTTTCCAAATGTTGCCAACCCACACACACACACGAAATCATCCCACGTTTTGGTCGAGAAAAAAAAAAAAAAAAAAAAGAGAGAGAATAGCAAAGGTGGTGGTGGTGGTGGTGGTGGATGGTAGATGGTAGGTGGTAATAGTAGTAGTGGCAGCAGTACACGGATCCTTGCAAAAATGGCTAATAGAACAACAAATACCAACACAAAAATGCAATCGCGCCAATTTCGGCAACGACCATTTCCAGATCGCCTTGTTTCCAATAGAAATTCGACTGGATACACTTTACTTAAAACATAAAAAAATTAAAATATTTGTTAAACATCCATGAAACTTGGCAACAACAACAACAACAAAAATTATCCCCATTTATTTATTTCCATCTTTTTTTAATTTTCCTCTCTCTCTCTCTCTCTCTCTCTCTTTCTTTCTCTCGACCGTTACGCCCTATTTATTTTCTGCAAGGATTTAAAAAAAAAAAAAATTAATTCATTTGCAAATTTCGCGCTTTAAAAACAAACCCCCTCCCTCCCCCTCAATAATCCCTCCCCGAGGAACCCCGTTAAACTGATAATAATGATGAAGAATCGATGAAAGGATGGCCCCCCCCCATTTCGATCATTTCCAATTTTGTATCAATAATTTAAAAAAAAAAAAAAAGAGAGAGAGAGAGAGAAAATCCGTGTCGAATTCGTTATCACTACAGAGAATACATATAAGTTCTCTCGCGCGCGTGCGCACGTGTGATAACGAATTTAAACACGTGATAACTAATTTAAACCTGGTTGACGACCTTTTTCGTTTTTTTTTCGTTCGATAAATCGTAGGTTAGAAAATTTCAACGGAGGGGGAGGGTCAAGGGGGATCGTAATTAAATTTATCGACGATCGATCGATACGGAACGGAGCGGCGAAAAGTAATCCGCACGTTTCTCCCTGCCCCCTGCTCCCTCCCCCCCCAATAACAAACGCCAAATTTTCTATGGTTAAAAGAATTGTATAGTTAGGACGATCGTCTACGCCATAATTTTTGAACTTGAATTTTTTTTTTTTTTTTTTTTGAGCCTGACTAAAAAATCTTTCGTTGCATTTAAGGCGTTAAAAAAGAGATGAAGCGATCGATCCCACGCTTAATCCTTAAATAATTTATCCAAATCCTTATGCAAGAAAAATCGATTCAAAAAGGGTGGAAATAATAATGATGATGATGATGAAACACGTACGACTTTGCCCAGTTTCCCCATCACCATCACCCCCCCTCTCTCTCTCTCTCTCCCTCACACCCCAAAGCCTAAAAAAACAAAAATAATTTATTTTATTTTATTTTACGAGACATTAAATAGAACGTAAACAACAACAACAACAACGACGACGATAATAATGATAATAGAACAACAGGAAATTTTTTCCCCACCTGAAACAGGAACTTATTTTCCCACCTGTTAATTAATTAGAAAAGGAAAGAAGAGAGAAAAAGACAAAATTGATCATCATCATCATCATCATCATCGCCACCAGTTCGTCGAAAATATGCAATAATAATAATAATAATTTAGTCAATTAACAATTGGCATTAGCAAACAATGAGAAGAGACAAAACACCTCACAACAAATTTATTTATTAATTCTCAATTAGATTTTTTTTTTAAACGTGTAAAGTCAATGAAATCGAATAGAAATAATAATGATAATAATAATGATAATGTGGGCGACCTAGATATTTTTTTTTTTTTTTTTTTAGCACGACGACGTTTATTATACACTCGTTTTTCATTTAATTTTTTCCCTAATGATTTTACACGTTACCTATATATAATACCTGTGAGAGAGCACCTGCCACGAAATCATCGTAATCAAACCGAGTCCGTTTGTTTCTCTCTTTCGGAGATAGATGGAGATAGATAGATGAATAGATAGATGAGAGAGACAAAGAAAGAGGAGAGAGAGATGGATAGATAGATAGATAGATAGAGAGAGAGAGAGAGAGAGGAGAGAGAGAGAGAGAGAGAGAGAGAGAGAGAGAGAGATGGAGAGATAATTTTTTTTCACTTATTCGGTCCATTCCCTTTCCTTCCTACCTTTCTTCCTTTCTTCCTCCCTCCCTCCCCAGTCATTTTCACCATTAGAAAAAATTCTTTCTTTCTTTCTTTCTCTCTCTCTCTTTCTTTCTTTCTTTCACACACGAGAGACAAATCATAAATGGTGGTTCTGGCGTGGTTATAACATGTTTTAAAAAGTATAACAACCATCGAAAACAACCGTATTTAACCGCATTTAAACGCCAATTGCGCAATTCTTACGCTAATAAACGTAATCGTAATGATCGTAATGCAGTTTTTATTTTTTAACTTCTTCTTCTTCTTCTTTTATTTATTTATTTTTATTTTTAAAATTAGTAAAATAATAATAATAATAAAACAAAACAGAAAAAAAAAAAAAACGATAATATTATTTATTTATTTCGATATCTCTCTCTCTCTCTTTCTCTCTCTGTGTCTCTCTCTCTCTCTAACACATATCGCCTTGAAATATTATTCGTCGTACGTACGCTTTATAAAAAAAAAAATTCTTTTTTTTTTTTTTTTTTCCCAATCATTAATTTAAATTCGACCCGTTCAGACCTTGGCCCCTATGAAACCTTCCATTTTAAGAAAGATTTCGTTTTGTTATTATTATTATCATTATTATTATTATTATTTTTGGCCGGCTAATAGGTGGAAAATTAATTAATTAATTAATTAGTTAATTACTCATTTGTATCACACATTAAATTTATTTAATTAATTAATTAAATTATTCGTACGTTTTTGTTCACTTTTAATCAAATGTGATTTTACTTCAAAACAAACAAACAAACAAACAAACAAACAAAAAATTAAAACCAAACAGTGACGTATAAAGGATAATGTTAAAATAATAAAATGACAATTTCCCCCCCCCCCCTTACTCGAATAACACAATAGCTTACATTTCTTTAATGATTGTTCGAATATGAGAGAAAGAGAGAAAGAGAAAGAGAAAGAGAAAGAGAGAGAGAGAGAAAGAGAGAGAGAGAAAGAGAGAGAGAGAAAGAGAGAGAGAGAAAGAGAGAGAGAGAGAGAGAGAGAGAGAGAGAGAGAGAGAGAGAGAAAGAGAGACAAACAAAATTAATGATTCTCATGATAAATGAAAAAAAAAAAAAAAAAAAAGACTCTTATTCGAATAAATCAATAACTAAACAAACAACCAAATCTCTATACAATAATAATAATAATAATAATAATAATAATTTTTCTTTTCGTTTTACAAAAAAATAAAAAAAAAAATAATATCATCGAAAAACTCATAGCCATGAATGACTATATATATTGTATTAGGTTAACTTTCTCAAGGCCCTTTTTTTTTTTTTTTTTTATTAAAAAAATTAACAATAACACACACCTCAAAATTGAATCATTTGACAGAAATAAATAAAAAAAATAAATATAAAATTAAAAATAATTCAAACTTTGTGAGAGAGAGAGAGAGAGAGAGAGGGTGAGAGTAATCGTGTGGATTTCTCGCTCGTTTACAAAATCTAATCTTCGAAGTGCATCGAAGAAAACAATAAGAAGAAGAAGAAGAAGAAGAAAAATTTTGATGAATTTATCATTATTATTATTATTATTATTCACATTACACATGTGACATGTGCCAAAAACTATAAAAATAAATGAATAACATTTCAACAGTTTAAACACAAATTATTCTCATAATGATATCTCTGCGAAATGAATTTCATTCGATACACTCAATCAAAAGTTAGCAAAAAAAAAATATCTTGTTGCAATTGAAAGAGAAAGAAAAGAAAAGAAAGAGAATAGCATTGAACAAGTCAAAACTCATAAAATAAATAATTATATATATATAATATAAATATTAATTATTAAATTGTTTGTTTTTAATATTGAATTTAATGAAGTGGGTAAATCGAAGAAAAAACTTAATTTTACATTTGAAATAACATTGATTGCATAAGATGTATTGAATGATATCATTGTAATTTAATTCTTAACAAATAAATTTTTTTTAATTATTTACACGTCTGTGGTAATTAATAGAAAAAAAAAAAAGTTTATTTTCATACGATTATAAATGAAATGAAATCCTGTAGTGAGATGATGATTTTTCTTTCAAATATAAAATTTATGTATATGATATTCATAACTTGGGAGGGGAAAATGTAATTAAATAATGATTACAAGAGTTCCAATTAGTTGTGTAAATAATTAAAAATGAAATTTCAATTAACGGTTTTTTTTTTTTTTTTTTCAAAAACAAAATCAATACAAGAAAAAAGGAAACAATAAGATTACTCATATTTAAAATTAATGGGAACGATTTCTATATCATTATTATTATTATTACCCATCATGTAAATAATGTATATTAGTCGATTAAAAATTTTCTTTCCTTTTTCATTTGAAGAGAGAAGAAAAAAAAAATAAAAATAAATTTTTTTTTTTTTTTTTTGGTTTTAATCAATACTCACGGTGTGGCTCTGAGGGAATAATCGTTAGCGATTGTTTCGATTCCTCCTGCTCGAGCGACTGCTATGTAACAACTCTCGTTTCCGAAATCTATGCCGATGACAGACATTTTCTTAAAAATTCTCTATTTATTTAATACACGTTTTAAACAATTTCAATAAATAATAATAATAACAATTTTTTATTCACTATAACTTAAATATTATCAAAAGAAATTAACCGGTGTACATCACTCTTCAACCACATGGAAAACAAAATGGCTTCACCAAGCTGTGAGCCCGAGTTTTGTTAATTGAAGAATATTCCAGAACCTTCTATAATGTTCTCCGTAAAGTAAGCATGCGAAGTACTTGATTTCACCGCCTTCTTATAAAAAAATCATAACGTTCTCTTAAAACTAATATTCATTTCGTAGCAGAAGATTTTTTATTATTACTATTTTCATATATTCTGTCAGATTACATTAGCATTCAATTATTATTATTATTATTTTTTTTTTTAAAAATAATTTAAGTGCAATTTTTTGTTTTCCCGATATAGTTTTTAAAAAATTTTATTTTTTAACAAATATGGCGTAAGTTTATAATTTAATTATGTAAAAAATTATTTTTCCATTTTTTTAAATTGAAATTAATTATAAATCGTAACCAATTTAGGTTATGTTGTCACATATTGAAACATATGTTGAAATGCTTTTAGGGCGAAAGTAACGTTTAAAATAACATTGACATCCGATCCGAAATTGCCTTATAAAGTATTAAACGTACCTGAAAATACTCCATTTACTGCAGTATTGAAATTTGCAGCGGAAGAATTTAAAGTTCCACCAGCAACTTCGGCTATAATCACAGATGATGGTATTGGGATTAATCCTCAACAAACTGCAGGTATGTTAAATATTTACTTTTGATTTATCATTTTATAAAAACAACAACAACTCGATAATTTTTTTTTTTTTTTTTTTTTTTTTTTTTACACAGGAAACGTTTTTCTTAAACATGGATCAGAATTGAGGTTAATACCCAGAGATAGAGTAGGAAATAATAAATTAATTAAAAGCTGAGTGATAATTAAATAGAATAAAAGAAAGACATTATAAAGTGAACAGTTACACAGTACTTTTTTTCTTCCACCCCATTTTCAAAGCTGTGAAATATGCATTTATTTTCAAAACACCTCTTTTCTCGATATTCTCGATAAAAACAAAACAAAAATAATTAAAAATAAAAATAAATCAAATTTAAAATTTTATTCGTTTTAAACAAAATATATATATATATATATTTATATATAATAATTAATTATATTAAATTAAATGAATACAAAAATAAAAAAATCAATAAAAAAAAAAGAGAAATGTTTATGTTTTCTTTTTCCCTTTTCATTCATTTATTCGAAAAAGAAAATTTTAAATGCAATAAATAATATATTATGTGTGTGTTTGTGTATTTTATCGAATAAATTAAAATTCTTCATTAAAAAAAAAAAAAAAAAAAAAAAATTGTCAGCCATTACAATTGATAAACTGTCATTAAAAAAAAAAAAAGTAAATAAATAATAATAATAATTTTTGTTCAAGCGACAAAAAATCAAATTTTCTTGAGCTTTTTATTAATCATTTTTCCCTTCTTATGCATTTCCCCTCCTCACATAATATTTATAATTAATCACGTGATAAAGCCACTACAAAAAATTCTTTTTATTTCTTATTTTTATATTATTATTATTATTATTATTAAATAATTTATAAAATTAAATTAATTTGATTAAATTTTTTTATTTTTATTTTATTAAAGCGATAAATATACTGTTTACATATACTTATGCATATATATATATATATATATATATATATAAATATATTAATAAAAAATAAAATATTGAAATTTATTATTACTTATTATTACTCTTTCCCCCTTTCTTATTTTTCCTCTCTTTCTCTCTCTCTCTCTCCCCCCCTTACTACAAATGGCACCTTTCTCTCTCTCTCTCTCTCTCTTTTCACTATTTTATACAAATACTTATTCGATTATTATTATTATTATTATTATTATTATTAAATTATGACTAGCGTATCTTAATATAATAAAATAATACACACACACGTGTAAGAAAGAAGTTTGATTCGATTAATTAATTAATTAATTTTTTTTGAGCATTTACAATGTAAATAAAAATAAAATAATAATAATATTAATAATATTAATAATAATAATAATAATAATAATAATATTAGTAGTAATAATAGTGCTAAAATTATTACTAAAAAAATTAAATAAAAAATCGATTTTGTCACGAATTTTCTTTTATGTGTAAAGAGTATTAATAAAAAATGCATTTGTTTGTTTGTTTGTTTGTTTGATTGTTTGTTCGTTTGTTTTTAATCGATTGTTTTTTAATTTTTCGTATAAAATATTTTAAATATATATATATATATTGCATAAAAAAAAAAAAAAAAGAAAATTTTAAGAAAAGTAATTTAAATTTTGGAATGATGAATATCAGTCTCGAATTTTATCATTATTATTATTATTATTACTATTATTATTATTCGTTAGATAGAAGGAAAAAAAGTAAAAAAAAAAAAGACGAAAGCGTAAAAAGACACGTTTGTTTCTTGTTTTGTTTTGCTTTTTTAAATTCATTTAAAAAAAAAAAAAAAAAAAGCGCGCGAAATGAACGATTACGTAATACGATCACATACGATTAAAGCGAAAGAAAAAGAAAGAAAAATGACCGAATTTTAATATTTTCTGACTTGAACGACCCCCTCCCCCCCCAAAAAAAATTGTCTTATCGTCATCGATTATACTCAACAAACGTGTTAGAGTTAATAATAATGATGATGATGATAATAACATCGATCCTGCTAATAAATTACGTTATGTATACGTTCGGACCGAACTGTTCCAATAAATACGTACTAACAAATGGTCCTCCTTATAATGAGCCCCCAAAAAAATCCCCCTCCCTCTCTCTCTTCCCCTTCCTCCTCAATTCTCCCATCATCTTCTTCTTATTAGAAAAAAAAAATAAATCGATAAAATTTGTCGTCGTTGATTTATTTCCGGCACGAAAATCCTCGTGTGACGGACGCCGAGTAAAAATAAAAAATAATTGTCGTGGTAGCAGCCGCAGCACCTTCAATCACCACAATAATAATAATAATAATAATTAAGTGAATACATTTCCTCGTTAAACGCGCAATGCATCATTATCATTAGAGTACGTTGAAATCAGACTAGAAATAAATAAACTACTAAAAATGTTTCCCCCCCCTCTTCCTCCCTTCCCCCTCCCTCGTTCATTCATAAAAAACCGCGTTTCGCTTATGTGTGTGTGTGTGCGCGGCCTGTTTTAAACTTCCTTTCGTAAAATACGTGTATGTATAACAACACAATGACGTCACAAACAAAAATAAATAAAAACCTCATTTCAAGGTCACGTTTGCCATGTTGCCGCGTCGTCCGCGATATTCACGTTCGAAAGAGACGACGGAAAAAATCGGAATCTCTTTCGCTTTGTGTCACCCTCTCGTACCTATGTACCTACCTACCTAGTCGAGTACCTTTTAATCATCTTCTGAGCGTAGTTTGATTGACGACATTATGGAAAATTTCGGCCGATGTCATTCTTTTTTTTTTTTTTTTTTTTTTTTTCGGTTTCCTCCCCCCCCCCTCGTTTGCGATGGAAAAATTACACTGATACTCAAGACGACGATGATGATGATGATGATGAATGCGAGATTAAGTTGCACTTATTTTCCGACAGCAAAATTCATTCGTTCTGTAAATACAAATAAAATGAATAATATATCTTAAAATTATAAAGGAAGTAAAATCGCTGTTGGAAAATTCGTTTTTCTTTCTTTACCCATTCGTTTTCGTCGACGCCTTCCATGTTATCTTGTTCCAAAGATAAATTAATTTCCATTCTGTTGCTCACGGCTTTCTGTATCTGAAATTAAATTAAAAAATTTTAATATAAAACAAAACTCCTCCTTTTAACTCCTCCTACTCCTTTTTTCCCCGCCCCTCCGCCAAAAATTTACCTGATCTTGTTTGCTTTTTATGTGTTCCTGAAACTCCGGATGAAATTTATTATAGACAGACTGAGGAGAAGAAGAATAATTTATTTGTGACGTATTTTTTCCCACGCTCTTATCACCGGACGACATGGAAGAAACTGCAATGATGATAATGATGATGACGATATTAAAATCGAACCTTCGAAAACCCCCTCATTAGAAAGAGAGAGAGAGAGAGAGAGGATAATACGTACGTGATTCCATGTTCGGAGGTTTGAGACTTATCCTTTTCGCTTGTTTGTTTCCTCCATCGAACCATTCGTAACTCGTCATCGTGGGTTCCCATGTGATTTTCGTCGGCGGAAATAAATCGTCTTGAAATAATTCGCTCTGAAATTAAAAATAAATCACATCAATCGGTGGAAAATCCAAAAAAATGAAGAAAATTTTTTTTTTGTGTCCTTTCACTCACTTTAATTCTCGGTACTGTAAAACTCAAAGGCTCAATGGTATTGTTGCTGAGACGTAGAGCACGTGCAAATTCCACGGATGCCACGTCGCATATTTTTTTATTAAGAAAACTAAGACCCTGATGAAGGCTGGCACAACGATGGTGAGACAATGGGCAAACGTACGGTTGCTCTTCTGTCACTTCGAACGTGTATATCGTGGAGTCACCCTGTCGAAATTAAAATACCATCCATTTACCTTTTTGTCCTTTGTTTTGTATAATTACAAAGTCATCACCGCGGTTGCCAAACTTACGCGTCCCGTTAGGAAAAGCGTCGAACTATCTTCATCGTAAAAAGGCATTAAAATCGCTGGGGAAACATCGATACCGACAGTTGTTAAAGGATTACTCAAATCCGATGATTTAAAAACCATTATCTGACGTTCTGAAACCCTTTTTTTTTTTAGAGAAAAATAATAATAATAATTAAACGGTAAATTTATATGAAACTTTAATATACAACGAATTTGAAAAAAAAAAAAACGTACTTATCGAATCCCATGACGACGATAAAAGCTCCATCCAAAGCCCAAACCAAACGAGCTCCCCTCGTTCCCACGGGACCTTTTCCTTCTCTTATGGGTTCCGATTTCGAACGCGGTTCGTATATTCGTATCAAACCGTCTTTGCATGCGCTCGCTAAATATTTTCCACACGGCGACCAGGATAAACAAAATATCTAATGGAAGAAAACAATAAAATGACGCGTCGTCCAAAATCGCAACAAAAAAAAAAAAGGCGCAAATGATCTCATAATCACCTGATCCGTGTGTCCAATCAAACAAATTTTCTCCTCCATTGAATCCAAATTCCAAATTTTTATTGTCAAATCGTATGAAGCTGTGGCCAGCACGTCTTTCGCGAGGGGATGAAATTTTATGCAGTAAATTTTATCCGAATGCGATTCTAATATTTGATTCGGTTCGTTTGTAGATTCGTTTAAACCACCTTCCGGTATTATCCAAAATCGAACCAAACCATCATCTCCAGCTACCGGGACAAAAAAAAAAAAAAATTAAAAAATTAAATTTATCGAATCGTTCGATATCTCGAACCTTTTTAAAAAAAAAAAAAAAATCAACTCACCCGCGGCCAATTTCCTGTTATTGAAATTATCCCAACAAAAATCCATGACCGTCGTTCCGTGTACGAGAGTCGGAGTGACTATATCCGGAAGTCGACCCGTTTTCGATAACTCGAAAACTGCTATTTTTCCACCGGGACCGCTTTGAGGTACGGCGACTCTTTCGCAATTGGCTGAAAATTTTTTTTTTTGTGGAATGAGTTAGCCTCACATTCGCATGATTTAAAAAAAAAAAAAAAAAAAAAGGAAAATTTCAAAAATTTTACCGTGAAAACCATCGCATTCTCCGGATATTTGCCGGCTCACGTTTCTTATATTTTCAATGAATGTCGATTTGTGCATTGGAGTCCCTTTCAAGTGTCTAAATTTAGAAACGCGACCTAAAACCATCAAATCATCATTAAAAAAAAATTTTTTTTTGCTTTTACTTTTAGTTATTATTATTATTATAATAATACCGAAAACGGTCGAGGTACGTTTCGGCGTGGGCGTGGAAATTCCAGAATTTTTTTTATCACTAATTATTTCCGATGATTTGATTGGTCCGCCAACTGTCATTCTCCGATTTACTTGTTGTTGTTGTTGTTCCTCTTTGGGTTCTTCATTTTTCGCCTTTAAAGAATTTCTGCGGTGAAGAGGCGATTGAGGTATTCGATCCTGAGCAACAGGTTGATCCTGAGTTGAAATGGTTCGATTTTCGTAAATCCTTCTTCGCTCTATAATTTCAAACCGAAATTTGTCGTAAAAATTTTAAAACAACCCCTCGTTAAATTTACAACCCTACCTGCGATGGAATTCCTTTGTCCCGAACCTCTTTCGAATGAATTTCCCTCATCTTTCAAACACTCGGAAGATTTCGAATTGACGATTACCCCGTCGAGCATTTCTTTCTCCTCCAAATGATTATTCCTTCCCGTTTCGAATAATTTTCTCCTTTCCGCCATGCTCGGAGTTCTCGGCGTAAAATTTTCATCTTCGTTATTGCTCACCTTTTCGGTTATCACTTCTTCGACGTTTTGAACTTTTTTCAATAACGGTTTCTCTATTTCGTTTTCTATTTTCTCGTGGTGCGTGAAATTCAAATCGTTGTTTCCTTTGCTGCATAATTTATCAATGTCGTTTTTCTTATATATTTTATCGTTTTGAGTTATTTTTTGCAAATCGTTCAACCCGCTTTCGTACGCGGGTAATTTTTCATAATCGCTCGCGTTTCCCAAATCTCCCGCGAACCCGGCATCATCGTTTTCGACCAAATCTTTTTTCGGAACGTCCGTTCCCGATGAATCCTTTTTAAAATTTATTTCTTTGTTTTTCGTAATAAACGATGACGGAGTGGAGGATTCTTTATTTTGAAAATTCGGTTCTGACGGTGGCATTTTTTCAGTGCTCGTCATCGTGTGTAATTTAGGCGGCGTGAATGGTTTTGGTCCCAAGCGAGGCTAAAAATTTAAAAAAAAAAAAAAACGTTATTATTTTCAAACCTCCTGCTGCACCTGATATCATTAATAATAATAATTAAAATACAACGTGAAAAATAAAAAGATATTCACACCTAAAAAAAAAAAATACAAAAAATATATATACTATCATTGCATGCATTGATCTACAAAGGAAAAAACCTTTTTCGAAACCGATTTCGAAAAATTTTTAATATATCAGGGTAACATAAGATTTATTGATGTGAGAAAAGGTTTGGTGTGACCTGGTATAAAACCTTTCCATTAAACATAAAACGTTAAACTCAGGTTTGAGCAACCCATTACCATAGAACACCATTTCCGGTTTAGTTTATTAAAAAAAACGTTAATGATGTTTTTGGAACGTGGAACGAATGAAAATTAAAAGAAACAAAAACAAAAAAAAAGGAAGAACATTTAAACTACTACATCAAATGACGGTTCGGTTTCCATTTAATTTCTAACCTTATAACCACCGGATATGGGCATAAGCGGATTGACGCTTTGTATAACGCACGTTTGAGCTCTTTCTATTAATATATTTAAATCATCTTCGGATTCTAATTTTTTATATGGCGTTTCCAAAATGACGCTTTGCGACGATTCGAGCGAGTTTTTATGAGTTCTCGGTTTGGCTATGGGACGATCTTCGAACGAATAGACGTCTATCGAATTAGATCTAGAACTTCTCGGCATGGGTTTCGGTGGAAGGATTTCCATCGTGGTCGAATCGTCAAATTCTTTGGATTTTTCCTTTTTCCCCTCTTCGCCGTCGTTCGAATCGTGATCCGGTTCTCCGTTCGCCTCCGTTTCGAACGTACCATTGCCAAAAGATTTGGAAACGCTATTCGAATTTTTTTTCCCGCATAAATCTTGGGTTTCGCTCATGACGCTTTTTCCCAAATCTCTACACGTTGTATCCGTTTTTTCACTCTCACTTACGACAATCATATCATTTTTAATTTGTTTTTTTTTTCCGATTTCCGCACAAAGCTCTTGCAAAGATCCCCTATGCAAGACCTGTTAAAAATTTTAACAAGCGATATTTTCCATTTTAAATGATAAATTCATTAGCAGACATTAATCGTTATTATTATTATTATTATTATTTAGTTAAAGCGTTCATTTTGAAATTATTTTGGTTTTAGTTAAAGCTGCTCGCGGCATATCATTATAAAAATAAAAAAAATTTTTTTTTTTTTTTGACAATCCAATGAGATTAAAACATTCCCTCTTATCAACTACGGTTAATAAACTTAAATTATTATTATTATTATTATTATGTACGATAGCAACTTTTTTTTTTTTTTTTTACAACCCTTTCAATTAGGGGATGTTTTTACACGTTGGGGGGAGGGGGGATTTGAATTTCAAATTGATTTTTTTTTTTTTTACCTTATTCTCATTTTCCTTTTTAGAAGGATCCAAACTTATTTTTGGAACGACCGAATTTTTACCATTGAGCCATTCGGTCACGGTGAGATCACTAACACAGCCAGCGGTATCGGGATATAAATCCGCGTGAAAATCTCTGTACGTCTGAAAATTTTACAAAAATTTTCTCGGTAAAATATAATTTTTAATTTTAGTAAATATTTATCAGTCGTACCTTTCTGGGAACTTGATACATTATAGGTATGACCATCGAACTCGTCAATTGCAAAACTCTGTTCACTTCTCCCTGCATGACGTTTAAAGCTCTCTTGGGAACGAGGCATGCTCCTTTCGTTTGTTCACCGTTGTGTTTCAAACCTTCGATCAAATATGGATCGCGATTGGTCACTTCCATGTAAATTATGGACGTATCTCCTTTTCCGGCCAAAAAAAGCATACTTGTATCCGGGTCGTACAACGGAAGGAGAATGCTGAAAAAGTAAACGGATGGTTACTAATCGGTTTGATAAAACGTAGGGGATGAAAAAAAGGAAGTTATTCTCACCCGGTCGAACAGTCCAACTCCAAACTTTTTTCTATTTCGTTCGGTTTACGGATATCTCTTATACAAACTTCTCTCTGGCGAGCCTGTACGTAAAAATTTCAACGTTTATACAAATCCATGTAAAAATATTTCTAGGTACGAAATATATAAAAAAAAATTCCTTTACCGCGTTAAAACCGGTTGTCAACAAACGATTACCATCATTAAGCCACACAACCCTAGAATCTTTAATTCCCTGATGACTAGATAATTCATGAATCACAGCTTTATTTTGTCTACAATCTAATACTCTAAGTTGTTTGTCTTTGCAAGTTGTCGCTACAAGGTCTCCTGTACTTTTCCAATTAACACATTGGATTACTTCAGAATGGTCATCAGCATTACCTTTAATTAAAAAGAAAAAAAAAAATTAATTAAATTTTTTTAGATAAACCTTGATCGATAGAGTGCAAGGTTCAAGATGATCATCATTCACCACATTCAAACTCATTTCTATTATAATTTCATTAATTTTAATTGAAAAATTACTCACTATAAACAGTTTGTTGAGATGTAATGTCCCATAAATTTAAAACTGTAAATGAACTGGTGGACAAAAGGCAATCAGCAGTCGGATGAAATAAAACCGTTTCTACTCGTCTTTGAGTTTTAGAATATAGTACGCATTCCGGATCGGTCATACTAACTTTCAAACCATTAGCTGGTATATGCCATACCTTGACCTGAAATTTAAAAAAAAAATATTATTTTTACCAAATGGTCAATGGAGAATAATACATTACTTAATTAAATTTTTTAAAAAAATTACTAAGCAATCTTGAGAGCCTGTAGCGAGCAAACCGTCATGAAATGGACTAAAGTTCATATCGGTGACGGTATCAGAATGAGCATGAAGTAGTGCCATATCTTTTCCTTTCCTTCCGCAATCATCTATCTGCAGTACTGCCAAATTACTACCATTTTGTCCAACATTCAATGCCATAAATGCTGCGCTTGCTGCGATATTGTGACCATAGGTTTGATAAGAACCAATCGTGAGATCCCTGACACAACTTTCCGGTTTTGGAACAACTGGAACTGCATTTTTATACTTAGAAGCCTTGAATCTCCAAGCCATGATGAACAATAATACTTTCCTGTATTAAACTGTATGCAGGATTAGTATTTATCTTTTTCTTCTCCTCTTTCTTGTCATTAAGCAATCTAAAAAAGATTTTTTTGTTTACAAAAAAAAAAAAAAAAATTTCTTACGTTATTGTTTTCTAAGAAAAAAAAAAAAAAAAAATGAAATAAGAACCACTCGATTAAGTAATTTATTATTATTATTATTGTTTGTTAGTAGGCAAAACAGAAAGGTTCAATTTGACCTGATTTCAAATTTTTACGCGAACTACTTGATTCGATGTTACGATGACAACTACATATATATTATTTGCAACAAACCTATAACTACGTTAAAGCTAGGGTGGGCCAGTTTCATTGGTCATAAAAAAATCCAACAAAAATAACGCGGTTTAAATATCCGGTAAAGGAACTTCTAACGGATTGACAATTTTTATGTCACTATAATCAACTTGGCCTGGGAAAAAAAATAATTAATGAAGAAATAAAGTTTTGGCAAAGTTAAATCACGATAAATATAATCACAGTTTTACTCACGTTCAATATTATAAATAGTTTTCTCCAGTTAGCGTCCTTACAAAATACAAAAATGTCGGAATTACACAATCTAAAAACAAAGCCTCCGTAATTATTTTTTTTCTTTCCCCAAATTAAATCAAAATGGAATATTTGCACAAAAAGTTGAATTCAATAAAGCAAAATTTATATTTCTCAATAAGAAATTGCAAATTATTATATTCCCGCTATTTTTTTTTTTTTTAAAATAATTATCCTAACTCAAAATCTACGTTATTTATAATCTTGATTACATCTTGGAGGCATTGCTTTCATTGTAATCTGCTGTATACTTTATTATGAATTAATTTTCAAAACATGTTGGGAAAATCGTTAATTAATAATTTATGTCGTTTTTTAAAACCGAACGTTTTCACCTCTGGCACTTTCTTTCATACAAGTTCTGCTAATTCATTAAAATGGCTTGAACTTAACGAAAAAATTTATCCTCCGCAAGAGCCAGGCGAACCACCGAGACCAGCGGTAAAGTAGTTACTTTTATTATTAAATTTTCATAATTCAAATAATATAGTAAGCCTACTAAAATGTTTTGTGATACAATAAAGGAATTTATTAACAATACTTTTTAAGTGTAAACACAGACTAATTGTTATTTATAATTTTCAGTACATTTGCCATTGTAAAGAAAATGTTAAATATTCACCTAAAAAATTATGGTACATTGCATGCTTGGTCAGAGGAATGACAGTTGACGAAGCTGTAAAACAATTACAATTCATAAATAAAAAAGGTGCAGTAATAGTTCAACAAGCAATTTTAGAAGCTCAATCTCTTGCAGTCAAAGAGCATAATGTAGAATTTAAAAGTAATTTATGGGTATCTGAAAGTTTCGTAGGAAGGGGCTTAATAATAAAAGGTATCAACAATATTAATTTTTCTAAAACATTGTAATCGAACATAATAATTTGCATCGTTAAAATTTCAATAATTAATCATGATTTACCATTTTAGGTTTAAAAAGGCATGCAAGAGGTAGAATGTCTGTCATAAGATACAGATATTCTCATTATTTTTTGACATTGGAAGAAGGGAAACCACCAAAAGATTATTATTACTTCAGAAAGGAAAAATCTGGAGAAGAAATGTTAGCGGAATGGCTTAATAAATACAGAAACAGGAGCGTTCTCCAATCTCTATAAAATTCATTTTTAACAACAATATGTCATCATCTTACAAATGACATCCATCTTAAATATTATATCAATACAAACAGAAAACATTTAATTAAATTAAACATTGTTAAATTATTGAAACAAAAAAAAAAGGAAGCCATTTTGTTAAATGTGTGTTTTCGAGTAGAAAAATAAGGGGGAAAGAAATTTATTTATCCCAGAGGCTAAAAAAAACGTGAGATAATTAATTATTATGACTTCAACTCAATTTATATATATATATATATATAAAAATAAATTAAACGTTATAATTTGTACTAAAATAAAAAAAACCTTGAATATTTAATTTAATTATATAAAATACTATCGATCTTAAAGTTGTAACGTTAGAATCGTTTTTTTTTTTTTTTTTTTTCTCTCTTTTGCTTGTGAACGCCCTGTCCTTTCAAGTATTTCATATGTTACGTAAATATACATCGATTTGACATAATGAACTCGTTTTCACGACGAGAAATTTTTTTTTTTTAAAAATCATCCGGTGAGAAAAAAATGTATTCGTTCGACCGAAAATATTAATAATAATAATAATACTAATACTAATAATAATAATAATGATAATTACGTTTGAATGTTTCGTGGAAAAACGAAAATATCGGATTTTTCTTTTACACACACAAAAAAACGTAACGGACGAACTTTGTTGTTTTTTTTACGCGCGCTTTTGCGCTTTTTTTTTTTACGAACGTGTACGAAAGTCATAGAGATAAAAAACCCAAAAAAAAATTTAAAGATGTCGATCGCGCGTAACGCTTAACATTATTATTATTACGCGATATTCGATCGTCAAGAAAAAATTGTAATAATATATATATATATATGTCAAAACAATTATAATAATTTATTATTACGTATCGAAACGAGTAATTATTTACCGCGTGAAAGTTATCAGAGTGTAATAATATCGATGATGATGATGATAATAATAATAACGAATTGTTTGTTTAATTTTTTTGTTTTTTTTTCGTTTTACCCCTACATACTCGGAAAAACTTCTAAGAAGTTCGAAAAGAAAACTTTTGAAAAATAATGTCGATCATAATAATAATAATAATAATAATAAATTTTTTAACGGACCGCATTCGTTCGATTTTTTTTTTTTTTTTTTTACCGCAAAAACAAAACTGACCTAATTTTATCAAAAAAAAAAAATTGACGGTTAAATCAATGCTCCAATTAAACACGCGCTGGAAAACAATTGTCGCATAAATATAAAGTTTTTCTTTTTTTTTTTTTTTTCACACTTCGTGCGTTGCAAACCCGATAATAATAATGATAATAACAACGACGACGAGGGTAATATTAATAATAATAATAAGGAAAATAATTATAACCGTGATAAAACTAGTATTACGTTTAAAATATTTAAAAAATTCATAGAGTAAGAAATATCGATACGGTCACGTTCGATTGCGGTCGAAAAAAATATTTTTTTGTTAAATATTACGTCTATATTTTTAATTCGTGTGAATTTATTTAATTTTATATTCCTTACTTATTTTAATAAATAGTTTAATAAATAAATAAATAATGTTAAACTGTTTTTTTCGTCAATGTCATTAAAAATAAATTATTAACAATAATAAATAATTAATAAAAAAATTTTTTTTTCATTCGAAATTTAATTTTACGTTACGCGACAATTCGACATTTTTTATTCTATGGTTTTTTTGTTATTAAAAAAAAAATAAAAAAAATTTCCGAATCAGTTTAAATCGAGTAAAATTTAATAAATAATATTTGAGTGTGTACCTGTCTCTCTCTCTCTCTCTCTATTTCTCTCCTTTACAATGCTTGTGTACCTGCGTCTCTCTCTCTCTCTCTCTCTCTCTGTTTCTCTCCATTATAATGTTTGTGTATCTGTATCTTTCTCTCTCTATTTCTGCCTTTGTGTGTGTGTGTGTGAATCTTTCTCTCTGTCTCTCTCTATTTTTCCCTTTGTGTGTGTGTTTGTGCACCTGTGTCTCTCTCTCTCTATTTCAGCCCTCTCTGTTTGTGTGTTTGTGTGTCTGTGTCCTTCTCTAACTCTCTATTTCTGCTTGTGTGTGTGTGTATCTTTCTCTTTTTCTCTCTTTCTCTCTCTCTCTATTATATTGTTTGTGTGCCTGTGTGTCTTTGTATTTCTGCCCTCTGTGCGTGTGTCTGTTTGCGAATTTGTGTCTGTGTCTCTATCTCTCTTTCTGTGTGTGTGTGAATCTTTTTCTCTCTCTCTCTCTCTCTGTCTGTCTCTATGCGTGTGTTTGTGGGTGTACTTACAAACGATTGCATAAAAGCGACAAAACAGAAAACAAACAATTGCATTTTAAAGGGTACATTTTTTTTTAACAATCGTTCGGAGACTAGTTATTGACCCGAATAAAATTAAAATTGTTATTGATTGTTACGAATTGTTTTCTTTCTTTTATTGTCCGAAACTTAATAATAATAATAATAATGATTTATTACGTGATTGTAACCTTCGTAAAATTTTAATGAGTGACTTTAAAAAAAAAAAAAAAAAATTCAATTGATAAAAAAAAACGACGACCCTTACGTCCCTTTCGTCGTAATTATATATATATAGAGAGAGAAAATTAAATTTATTTAATATCGTACCTTTGCCCCCCCCTTTTTTTTTGTATTGTGTTGTTGTAGTCGTCGTCGCTGTCGTCGTCATTTTAATGACGTCATCATAAAATCAATTAATTTATAATTAAAAACAAATTTTTTTTCGCTTAAAAAAATCAACATCGTTTTTACAATTTGCTTCCTATAATTATCATTATAATTATAATTATTATTATTATTAAATTTTTCCAGAACGTTCCAGAACGTGTGTGAACTCATTCGTAATTTATCGAAAAATAAAAAAAAAATCGAAAAAGGCTGCCAGGTTTTTTTTAAAAAAATTTTTGACACCACCTAAATTTCAAGGAAAAATTTTCTTCTTCAACTTTTATCCTCCCACCTTCCCCTATCCCCCCTCTCTCTCTTTCTTTTCCTTGTTTCTTTCTCTCTCTCTCTTTCTTTTCTCTTCCAGCATAGCATTAACTTTTCAATCAGATACTCATAAAAAAATATGAATTATTGCAAATATAACCTCAGCAAAAAGGTCATTAAAATTCCCGGCAGTGTCACTTTTGATCTTTTTTTTTCTTTCTTATCATTATTATCACCGTTATTATTATTATTATTATTATTATTATTATTATTATTATTATTAAATCACGTTTCGAATACGGTAAGTCACGAATTTTTTTATTTATAATTTTCGGGTTAAACCAGATGCGCGACGACTATACAAAAATAATAATAATAATAATAAATTTTTCCCCTTTGATTTTTATGTAAATCTTTCGTCATCAACATTATTATTATTATTATTATTATTAATAATCCATTACGTAGAAATTATTAATTAAATTTAATGAAACATTTTCATGTACTTAACAAATTATTATTATTATTAATGTTTCTCTTGACCGTAATAATAATAATAATCAGACAATAAACTTTCATTTTTTTTTCTTATTAAAAAATGACTCGTTTGACGAAAAGGCGGTCGGTTGTCTTTCGTTTTTGAGACAGAAATAAAAAAAAAAGGTTTTAAACGTTTTTTTTTATTTTGACACGACAAGACGTGGTTTTAGACTTTGTTAGAGTCACGTTAAAAAAAAAAAAGGGGAGTATAAAAAAAAAAAATTTCGTTTCGGTGATACGATTTCGATTTGGGAAAGAAAAAATTTATGGAACGAACGACACGTTCCGTTAAAAAAAAAAAAAATTTATTTGATTCGTAACCTTTGACCTTTGTCCCTCCCCCTCTGTTTTACGTACCCCCCCCCTCCTAACCGAAAAGGGACAAAAAAAAATTTAAAATTACTTGTGCTTTATTTGTAAATTTTTTTTTTTTACTTTTTGTATTTGTGAACAACAACAACAACCGGATTGTTCGTTTGTTATGACGTCATTGTCGCATTTAACGGTTTGCAAATGATAATGATGATGATAATAATAATGATAATAATTTTAAGTAAATAGAGGAAGTGAAAATCGTTCGGAGGTTTTTTAATTTTACGCATTTTTACTCGCACGTTCGTACGAATAATGATAATAATTGGATGGTTGTTGTTGTTATTGTTTGTTTACGATTTTGACCGTTTTCTGTACCATTATTATCTCTCTCTCTCTCTCTTTCTCTGTCTCTCTCTCTCTTGAGACTTTCATTCTTTTTTTTTTGCAATCATCTTTTATATTATAAAGGGTATGAAAATTTTTTTTCTTTTCCTTTTTCTTTTTATTCTATTAATTTGAAATGATTTTCGATAATGTCAACCCATCAAAACTTGAAAAGAAAATTTTTTTTCAAACGATTCGTTTAACGTGGCATCATCATCATCATTATCATCATTTTCTCTTTTTCGTCATCCTATTAATTTTCTTCTTCTTTTTCATCTTTTCATTCATGTTTATCTTTGTCCGATCCGATTCAATCCAATTGTCAATTCAATAAACGTTCTTTTAATTTCGACAGCTTTCTCTCTAAGATTTTAACCCTTTCTTTTCGACATTTGTAATTTTTTAATAAAAAAAATTGATAATAATAATAATAATAATAATGATAATGATAATAATTTAAAAAATGAAGTGAATATTTAAATTCTTTGATTGTTGGGAATAAATATTGTAAGGTACGAGTACATGGGTTTGTTTGTGAGAATAAGAGGGAGAAAGAAAAAAAGACAAAGAGAGAGAGATACACAGGCAAAAAGACAGAGAGAGAGATGCAAACAGAGAAAGAGAGAGAAAGAGAGAGAGAGAGAGATGCAGACAGAGAAAAAAAAAGAGAGGTGCACAAACAGAGAAAAAGAAAGAGGAGAGAAAGAGAGAGAGACGAAAATACAGAAAAAGAGAGATAGAGGCACACACGCACACACACAGTGAGAGGCAGAAAGTCATACACACAGAGAGAGGCAGAGAGTCATACCCCC